GTAATGATGACCATCTCATTCCACCATCTTTCCTACCCCCATACTCCCTCCCTTCCTTCCCCCCTTCCTTCCCTCCCCTTTGCTCTATCTAGAGTTTATCTAATCCTCCCATGATCCCCCTCCCAAACCCACTATGAATTAGCCTCTTTATATTAGAGAAAAGTTCAGCATTTATTTTTTTGTGGGGGTGGGATTGGCTAACTTCACTTAGCATTATATTCACCAACTCTATCCATTTACCTGAAAATGCCATGATTTTATTATCTTTTAATGCTGAATAGTATTCCATTGTGTATATATACTACATTTTCATTATCCATTCATCTACTGAAGGGCATCTAGATAGATTTTTTTTTTATTGACACACTGACTTGTAGTACTGCTGTTCCTCTTGGAACCTTTATTCTTTGTTTTCTTATAAAATTGTGTGTGTGTGTGTGTGTGTGTGTGTGTGTGTGTCTAGTTCACTCTAGCAAAATCATAAGCCTGTTGAGTATAGGAGCTGTGTATTGTTTTAAATCACCCCATACTCTTTAGGCCATATTACTTATTTAATAATTAAGAGCCTGGGAATAAAGAACAATACATATTTTTATATAAAAATGACATTGGTATATACATAAGTCACTTAATACAATATATGTTAATGTCTGCTCGAGTTTTGGTCTTGAATGCCTTTGAAAGGCCCATGTGTTAAAGGCTTGGCCCCTGGGGTAGTGATTTTTGGAGTTGGTGGAACTGTAAGAAGTGGGGTCACTGGGGCTATGCCCTTAAAGGGGATAATGGTATCCTGACCCCTTCCTCTCCTTTATTTGCTTCCTGACTGATGAGGTGAGTATTTTTGCTGCTTTTCTACAGGCCCAAAACAAGGGGGCCATTCGATAATGGAGTGGAACCTCTAAAACTGAGCCACAATGCACTTTTTATAAGTTCATTATCTCAGGTATTTCAGGATAATGATGGAACACCGACTAATACAATGTCTCTATAACAGTAATACATATGTATTTTGTCAATATGTAAACATATATATTTTATACATGAGATCTTTTCAAAACACTGTCTAGCCTATGTGTTAAATAGTAAATATTGTTATCAGAATTGAGAAATGAGTCCCAAGGTTTATAGTGAATACCATGAGCCTTTTTTAGGGTAGATGACATTGGTGTTTGGGAGTGCTGTTAGCATTCAACATTTACTTGGGTATATTCTGACATCCTCTGTTTTAGAAATAAGACAATACAATTTGATGTTTTTGTTGTTGTTATTTAAGAATCTGTGCCTGTATTTTGATTTGTGAGTGCATGTGAGTAGTTGGGTAGTTTTGTGTATGTGGGGTACCTTGATATCTATAGAAGGATAATTTTCCTTTAAGTGTTTTGTGGTCAGGCATAATTCCATGCTTTATTTCTTTTTGGGTTGTTTCCTGGCTCCCACATATTTATAATGTTAGGCTTACAGGGAACTTTGTTGCTTGGAGCAGTGTCTTCATGCCCCAATATTCAGTGATTTGCAGACATGTTTAAATAACATTCATCCTTCGCATTGAAGTGCACAAGGCACTTCTTCTTATTTGTAATTTGGAGAAATGTAGCTTGTGAGCTGATGTCTGTTTTTTAGAGTGTGCTATGACTCACTTAAGTGTGTTTGGAAATAAAATGTCAGGTGCCCTGAGTGTATGAAAATTGCCAAGAATTTTCTCCTTGTCAAGCAAAATTGTGAAACACATTGAAAAAGGCAGAAAGAATTTCTGGGTATCCTGTGTAGTGCACGTTCCTGAATTATCAGTTTCTGTAAAGGTCTTTCTTTGTCTTTGAATGATTTCACAACACTGTTAGATGTAGGAAATTGATAGCATTACCAGTGATTGTCATGAAGACATGAGAATGCATTTTAGCCTTTGGAACACAATTGATCATTATCCTCTATATATTTACCATTTTATGTTAATTAAATTCATTTTACTTTCCTGATTGTCTATTGTCCCTTGAGTTCTTCTTTGAACTGGTGGTAGCATCCTATTGATTTGACATGCTAATAAAAATTACAAACAAAGTCCTTGACATGTATTAATTTTATATTTGTATAAGAAATGACTTTACCTTTTCTTTTAAACTTGTCCCTTAACATCAGAAAATTCCCATTTCTGAAGGATTGATTTAAGCATTCAATCTTTATTTGAGTTGTGTTAGGGTCTTGAGTGCTAAGTATAAATCTGAAAATTTATGTGGTGTAATTCTCTTTCCCAGAGTATCATTCAGAATACTTGGGAGGGGCTGTCATATAATGTCTCTTTAGTAATTTTACTACGTAACCCCACTTCTTAGATCTTTCTATGAATTGAAGGTTTCCTTCAGAAGAGATTTTTTTAAATTGTTATTTGTTACCAAGCCATATGAAATAGCCTATTAAATAATTTAAAATAAACTCCATCTGGCTTGGACTACAGTCCAAATCCCTGACTCCCTGTGCTATCCTCTGCATGAAATAGGTTTGTTTTCATTTTGGTATTTTAAAATTCTAAATAAACATGTCAATGCTTCTTGCTTACATCCTAAGAGTTTGGTAACACCAGTAGCTATGGCCCTTTGGAGTCATTGGATAATTTGGAAAGGGTAAATAGGATAAAAGAATCTTAGGGAAATTAAGTGGTGTATGACACACAACATTACAGCCAGAAAACATAATGCCTTTTTCATCTACTTATTACTGTTCTCATCTTGGATGTGGCAGCCTGGATAACTCAGAGGCAGTGTTGGAGGAGTGCTTTCTGGAGCTTACCCTATTTTATTCAGAGGCCTTGCTTCATTTGAAATTCATGCCAGACTTCCCAGCATCATTATTTTGCTAGGATGATAAGAAATAACCTAAATTTTCCATATAGAGACCAGGATCTTCTCAGTGGGATATGGAAATAAGAGAGATGTCCTAATACAAATAACTGGGAACAGAAAAACCTGAAAGCCATTATGCAAATGAATGACCAGTCAAGCTACTCTATCAGAGGATTGTGGGAAGCTGAATAATGCTTCCACCCCAAAAGAAAAAGAAACATAAAAACAAAAGATATCCAAATTCTTATCCCTAGAACACGGAGGTATTGCCATATATGACCAAAAAAAAAAAAAAAAAGGAAGATGTAAATTGAGAACCTTAAGGGAAGATACCCAGATGGGCTTTGAGTGCAATCACAAGAGGAGAAAAGGCCGAGGCAGAGGCTGGAGTCGCACAGCCATGGACAGTGAATGCCAGCAGCCCCCAGAAGCCTAAGGAAAGAGATGGATTTTCCCTAAAGCTTTCTGAGGAAGTATGGCCTGCCAATACTTTGAGGAGTGGAACTATTTTTCGACTTCTGACCCATACAACTATGAGAGAATAGATTTCTGTTGTCACAAAATGTATTTTGTGGTAATTCGCTACAGAAATGATTATAGTTTGGGGGAACTGGAAGTGAAGTGCTATTATAATCGATACCTAAAAGAGGGGACGTGACTTTACAATGGGGTAACAAGCAGAGGCTGAAAGAATTTTGAGGTACATGATAGAAATCCTGGATTGTCTTGAACAAACTTGATAAATAAATAAAGATGAAAAAGACTGCTGGTGAGGGCTCAGGAAATATGAGAAGCATGGTAGAAAATGCCTACATTTTCTTAGTATGTAAATTATCATAACAGAGTATTGTAAAAAGTACAGATGAGCTGCTTTCTTCTTATTGCTTATAGTAAAATATGAGAAGAAAATAATGAACCAAGGGTACAGTAACAAAAACAAAACCCAAACTGCGGATTTGGAAAATTATGTTTATCCAGATTGAAAAATATATTAAAACAGGAGATTAACTGTTGGGAAAGGCTGCTGTGGAAAACAGGCAAGAGTGATGGCCTTCCTGTTCCTACTTCCCCACGGTGAAGTCATTAGGTGCTTCTGTGCTTCTCCGTCATTAATATAGTCAGGAAGGCCAAACAAAATAGATGAGGGGCCTAATAGCAACATTCTGGGTATTGGATTAAATTAATAAGGGTATAGAGGATAGATTTGGAATTTCTCTTATTCTTGAAATGCTCTTGTAATGTCTTATCCTGATTCCCTTCCATTCAAGCATTGCTCATGTGAAATGTGCTGTGACCAGAGGAGGTCATTGTGAGATTTTCAAAGCAACCAAAAGCCAGAGACAAGTGGGTTGGCCTTAAGTTGGCAATTGTAATAAATGGTCTATTTTAATACTCAGTGACTAATGGCAGCCTGCTGTGGTGGATGTGAATTGAGCTTGGGAGAGTTGCTTAGAAAATCTGTAATTTTTTTCTCTAGTATTTGAATGATCAATTATTATACTTTGTTAAATTTTAAACAGGGCAAGAACTAGGTCAATGGGAATGGTTCTCTTATTTCTTTGAAACACTTGGAGTGACTGACAGCAGTCAGTTTCCTAGTGTTATTTTGCTCTTTGTTGTACTCCTATCTATCAATCCTTTGGCGCTTAAAAAGCCTGCAAAAGAGATGGAGAAATGTGCTGTAGTCTTTGGGTTTAGAGGTATATGGTACGAAAGGATAAAGGTTACAGCTTAAGAATGTTGTCTGACCTGCTCTCCCCCATATTTTGAGTGCCTACTGTATGCCTTATATAATAATTTTTTTTTTTTTTGTATTGGGAATTGAACCCAGGGGTGCTTAACCTCCCTTTTTATTTGTTATTTAGATACAGGGCCTAAGTTGCTTAAAGCCTTACTTAATTGCCGAGGCTGGCCTTGAGCTTGTGATCCTCCTGCACCAGCCTCCCTAGCTGCTGGGATTGCAGGAGTGTGCCACTGTGCCAGGCTATCTAATACATTTTTGATCAATAAACTGCTTAGTGGGTGGAGTGGAAAAGGAATTCAAGTCAAACAAGGGGTGCCGTTTGGATAGAGGCTTGCAAGCTAATTGTGTTAGGATGATTAATAAAGCACAGTTGTCTCATTAGAATCAGCTCTAACAAAGGCTTGTTTTGTGCCTGTTTGCAGAAAGATTACCACTTTGAATATACGGAATGTGATAGCAGTGGCTCCAGGTGGAGAGTTGCCATTCCCAATTCTGCAGTGGACTGTTCCGGCCTGCCTGACCCAGTGAGGGGCAAAGAATGCAGTATGTGCTGACTTTCTGATCATTTATTCTTCTCATTAAACCATAACATCTTAATATTAGCCCTGGGTATCAATTATAATGATAATGAGACCTTGGAGAAATGAATGTATCTTGTTGCTGTCTAGCAGAATACATGGGGTCCTTGTGTGCAAAGTCCGTGATAACACATGGATATATTAAAGTATCAGTATTATTGTTATTTGTAAATTTTTTTTATTTAAAATTTTGGAGGGCAGAGTGGCAGAATTTATCTTTAGTGGATTTTTTTTAAAATTACATTAAAAAATTATTTGTTCTAATTAGTTATACACGACAGTAGAATACACTATGATACATCTTACATAAATGGAGTATAGTTTCTCATTCTTTTGGTTGTACATGTTGTAGAATTCCACCAGTTGTGTAGTCATATATGTCTGATTCATTATACTGTCCTTCCTACCCAACACCCCCTCCTCTTCCTTCACTATCCTCTACCTAATCCAAAGTAACTGTATTCTTTCCTCGCCCCCTGCCTTATTGTGAGTTAGCATCCACATATCAGAGAGATCATTCAGCCTTTGTATTTTTGGGATTGACTTATTTTGCTTAGCATAATATTTTCCAGTTACATCCATTTACCTGCAAATGCTATAATTTTATTCTTTAAGGATGAGTAATTTTCCATTGTGTATATATACACACCACATTTTCTTTATTCATTCATCTGTTTAAGGGCACCTAGATTGGTTCCACAGTTTAGCTATTGCGAATTTGAGTTGTTATAAACATTGATGTGGCTGTGGAATTTTTAATTGGGTAACATATCACTGAAAGTTTGTCATTTGAACATTTTTAAGTGTATAGAACTATTATAAGTATATAGAACTATAGTAGCACTAAGTATAGTCATATTGTTTTCCTACTATTAATACCATCTATCCACAAAACTCATCTTGTAATGGATTCCTTTCTTTTTTAAAGCCACAAAAATACCTTGAGGTAATTTTTTGTAAGTATAACCTATAAAGAGATTATAGAATTACTGAAGGTCATATTTAATAACTTTCCTTTTGAAAATTAAGAAGATTTGAAGTGTAACATTATGAGTTAACAGAGAAATACATTGTGGAATTTATTTTCATGCATAAACTCTATCTTTAAAAAAAAAAAAACTCTTTAATTTGGTAAGTTAGGGGTGTGGGGGGTTTCTACAGTAAAGTAGTCTAGGGTTAGCCTAAGGTTCAAAGTCAGATGGATTTACCTTTTTTCCAGCAGTGTTCCAAATGGTATTCCTAAAAGTTTAGACAGTCTGTTTCTAAATGAACATACAGGTAAGCAAATTTGTTAAATGGAAAACTAATTCTTTCTTGTTCACAGAGCACCTCTCTCTTATTAGCTGGGAGAGCTTAAGCTTAAGTGGTGAGTTCACTGCACTCAGGGAGACTGCAGTAATTCTATGAGAAAAACACCATTATTTCTTGGTGAATGATATTAAATGAATACAGAGAGAACCTGAGTATCTCTCCCTGCAAGACATTAACAAGAGTCTGAAGAGAAAGGAGGTTCAGTAGAGAAGAAGGTGATGTGAACCTAGGGTCTAGGCAGCCTCCTGTGCAGAGAGAGATCAATTCTCAGTAAGGAGGATTGGGGGGGAAAGGGAAACAGAGCCTGAGTAATACCAATGTAGTCAGTTTATTGTAATTGGCTTTGGCTACCTTCCTAGAACATCTGTATGGTATTTATCTATACTTTTTACTTGGCAGATGTCTTGGTTTCATTGTAAACAACTCAATTCTGTCAGACTATCTAACCATTATGAGTAGTAACTCCATATTTGCATGATCTGGTGGTTCTGGCTACCACTGGATGTGGAGATCCAATTGTCAGTTTGAAATATGCCATGGTGGAAGATTTGCTCCAAATTAAGGGCTTCTTCCCTGGCAGCCAGATTTTAAATATTTAGCAGTACACTATTGATTAAGTGTATTTGCCAAAGTTTCAAAATTCTGTTACAGAATTAATGCCTGAATAGTAATCATTACCAACTGAATGATGCTTGAGACCCTTGTTCATTATTTATTGTAATAGTCCATAGATTATTTGAATTTGACCCTCCAGCAAGAACTTTTCTAAAACCTCTGACTAGTAATCAAGTTACTTTTAATTATTACTTACATTAAAAATGATAGTTATTTTAAAAACAATAATACTTATGTGATGGCTGGGACATTTTTTTAATCTTTATTTTTTGTCTAAAATCAGAATTTTCGAATATTCCTGTATAATATATTTGCTCTGGTAGTTTGTAATATGACCTTCAGTCTATGACTTTTTCCTTTTATGGTAAAGAAAAATTATTTTAAACTTTACAAGTAAATTAGTTGATCTAACTAACTTAGAAGCACAGTTAATTTGTAATGTTACACATGTTGTTTACCACATTACCAGTCATTAGTGTTTTGTTGTGGATGGTTAGGGTAATAATAACTGATTATTTCAATGGCTTAGATTTTCTGTTGCTAATAATAACTACCATTTCTCAAATTGTGATTATGTGCCAAACATTGTACTTGGTGCTATACGTCATTATTCCATTGTAATCTTAAAACAGCCCTCTGAGGTAGCTACTACAGGTTAACTGTCCTTTATGTGAAATACTTGGGATCAAAAGTGTTTTGGATCTAAAATTTTTTCTGACTTTTGGAATACTTGTATATGCATAATAAGATACCTTGGGGATGGGACCCAAGTCTAAATACAAAATTCATTTATGTCCTATATAAACCTTATATGCATAGCCTGAATGCAGTTTTATACAAAGAATTTTAAAGAATTTGGTGCACAAAACAATTTCATGGTACAAAACATTCTGTTTGTGGTGATATGTTGATCCCAAGAATTTCAGATCTTGGAGCAGTTTGGATTTTCAGATTAGGGACACTCAGCCAGGAACAGTGTTTCCATTTTTTCTGATGAGAAAATCCAATCTCTAGGTAGTGACACAACTTTCCTTGGTTCATATGGCCTGGCTGAATCAGATCTCCGATTCAAGTACAGACATGTCTGATTCCAGGGCCTGTCTCATATCCACTGAGCTAACTTGCCACATGAAGATGGAAGCCTTGAGGTGCTTCCAGGTCTTCATATGGGGACATAAAGCTCTCTTGGTGTGCCCAGCATTTGGCTTGTACTGAAAAAGGAAATTAAAAAGCAGAACAGGGCAACTTCAAGTAAATGAAGAATATTTAGGCAATGGTTGTGTAGGATATGATTTCCCTAGATCCCAATGTCTCTAAATAGACTCAAACCCATAGTTTGAAAATGTAGTTGTGTAGATCTTTTCCTCTTTTGCAAAAAGAGACAATATTGGAGGGCTTTCCTGAGGAAGGGGATTCTAGGAGTATTTATTTAGCAGTTGTAACTTTTTTCCAGAAAATTGATGGGCAAGATGTATTACATATTTGTTTTTTTAAAAGTCACATAAAAATCTGGCCATAGGGCTCCTCTGAGTGAAGTTAATGAGAAGTCAAATGTCAGTTTTTGTTGTGCTTGAACCCTGGGGTATATGTGCATCCAAGCTTAGAGAACTCAGTATTTATGGGTACTGGTCCCTATTACCCTCTTGTCCCTTCCTCTGTGGAAAACTTACCAGTCTCATATTGCTGCTCTGTGTAGGCCCCTGAGATGACCTCCTGTCTCTCCTCCTCTCTGCTAGTTACAGGATCAGCCCTGGTAACTTTACTGCTTCTCCCAAGTCTGTGGGTATCACTCACCTTTCAGGGTCTTGTGATTATAATCTCATTTCTGCATCACAACACTTTGTAATAATAACCAAGAGAATACAGCCCCAGTTTTAACCCTGTGGCTTCTCCACCATTGGGTCAATCTCCTCTTTTATCCTGGAAGCACAAGCATTTCTAACAATCTCTTCTTGACCTTCTAAGCATCCTTTGATGTTCTTAGATCATCAAAAACAATGGTCCTCCTGGAGTGATTTCCTGGGTGATAGTCTCTTTTAATCTTTCTTTGGAAACAGGGCCCTTTGGCCTCAAACTAAATCTTAGAAGTGAAGACCTGGATATCCTTGGAGATGACATGTGAAGAGAACTCTTTTATGTGTTTTCAGACAAGTCTAAAACACTGAGAGAGAAATAAACAATAATATATCTCTTTTATATTCTCACATTTTAAGGGGGATATGTGCCATGTATTGCTTACCCTTTCAAATATTTCTGAGTCTTAGACTTCAGTTACAACCCTAACATCATAGTCTAATTAAGGATGACAATTTAAATATAATTCACTTGGTGTGTAAGCATTAAATGGATCATTGTCTTGCGGATATTGTTTAATCTTGTACTTCAGAATTCATAATATGCAAATCAATAATACATATGAAATAATCATTATTATCAAATGTATGACATGAAATGGTTGTCTATATGGATATATTTGTGCATGTATATGTATATAATGTGTAGTACATGTGTTTGAGTTACTTTTGTATTGTATTTCTCATATAGGATTTAGTGAATTAATGTGGTTTCAATGAGACATTACTTTTACATAAGTACGATTACATGTGTATTGTGGTTTTCATTGATGAAAAAAAAAAGAGAGAGACTTTCACTTTGACAAAGAGAATTCCTTAGAAAGTCATGGATACTAAAGGAGCAGGGGCCTTTGGCTACTTTGAGCTCATTCATGACATCACCAGATACTTTGGGGCAAGGATATTTGTGCATATTAGAAAGGGGACTCTCAGTGCAGTTTGATTCTCTAATTTTCCTGGAGAATTGGGCTCAACTGACAGAGTTCATGATCCTTGTGGGTTTGTAGTGAAATTTTACACAGAAGATGATAACTTGAATCTTGTTGGAAATAATGCTCTCATTTTCTTCATCAGGGATGCCATATTGTTTCCATCAATGAACCATAGCTGAAACAGAAATCCCCAAATATACCTGAAGATCTGGACATGGTCTGAGACTTCTGGAACCTACTTCCTGAGTCTCTGA